CTTCGATCCCCAGGGCGGCCCAGGCGGCCTCCGGGACGCTCCTGACCGCGTGGCGCTGGCTTCGGGGACACCAGGGACGTCGAGGCCCGAAGGCTTGTTGTGTGGCTGCTTGGCGCTGGGTAGTGCGTTGGGGATCGGAGACCGCAGAAGCCGGAACGCGGCGAGACGCGCGAAGACTCCGTGCCGAGCGCGGCTGACACCGCGGGGCTCGCGCGCCGGCAACGCTGGGGAAGCTGCGGCCGCGCGCTCTCGGCACCCCGGGACGCACAGTCCCGCGCGCATTCGTTCGCTCCCTTTAACATTTGCTCCTTTGCGCATCCGCTTCTTTCCCGGTTCCTGCAGCTCCCCAACACGCTGGAGCCTGGCCCGGGAGCGCCCTTCACCCGGATTCTGAGAAGCAAAGCAAACAGCACTGCAAACCCGGGCACCGCCGCTGGAGCGCGCAGACCAGGAAGCTGTGGCTGCCGAGCCAAGCCGAGTGGAGCCGCTGGGCTGCGGGGCCCTGGACCTGGTCCGTCCTCGCCTCCGGCCTCGCGCTGGCTGGCTTCGGATCCCAGCGCTCTGCATAGCCAGGCTTCGAGGGTGACCGGGATGTAGCAAGCAGTCGGCGTGAGCCCTGCTTCTGCGACCTCAGAAGTGACCCCGGGCGAGTCAGTGGACTCAACCAGGCTGGGCCAGCTCCGAGGTGACCCTGCGCGCACGGCCTTTATCAGACGCTCCGGCTGTCCTGGGGAATCCATCCTGCTGCGCTGAGCTCCTGCGCTCCGGATTCTGGGGCTCCAGCTGACACAGCCCCATGTGCCACGGTCACCTTCTGCAGCCGGGGCCTTACTGTGCGCTTCCTCCAGTGCTCACGACTACCAGGGCCACACGGACCCCCTAACCAGCCACAAAAGCCACAGAGATGACTTCACTCGTTTATTTAGCAGAGCTGTGCGAGGTGCTAGCGTCTCCATCCGAGAGCAGGGCCCTGCCCTTCCCATCAGAAGCTGGAACCCGGCCTCTAAACCCTGCCCTCTGGGAGGCTGAGGTACGAGGACGGCAAGTCCTTGCCCAGCCTGGACTCGGAGATGCTGTTGAAAATTTAATAAAAGTAAAAAGCGTTGGGGACAGAGGTCAGCGCCAAAGCCCCGTCTGAAGGCAGTGCCTGTCAGGGTGAGGGGTGGGATGGGAGGCGGGTGCAGGGGACAGAGAAGCAGCAGCCTGAGTGTGGCCCCCTTGGGGAGCGCTTGCCTAGCTTGCTCCAGGCCTGGGTTTCATCCCCAGCACCTAAAAAACAAAACAAAACACCTCTCTGCCCTTCAAAGGGCGAACTTCCTGTTTCCCTTCCCGAAGGCCCCTCCCCTCACTGGTGTTAAGAGCCTTAAATCCCAGAAGCAGTATTTGAACCAGAATTTCAACAGGAGGCCCTAATTCCCCCAACCCTTCCCAAGTGCTTGCCTAAACTTCTTTCAAACTGTACACATCAGAAAACTCGGCTTCTCCTAACTCACAAGGGCAACTCCCAAACATGCACATCCGAAGGGCTGCTGGTGTTTGGAGGTGGCAGCAGCCAGCAAAGACACAGGGCCATCTGGCCTGCTTGCTCCCCAAAGGGTTTCCGGACACAGAGGCCGCTCCGCCCCCAGGAAACTCATCCAGAGGGTAGGTTTTGTGGAGAGCAAGGCTGGTCCTGCATCCCCCACTCCACATGCACACTGAGGGAGACCGCGATAAACAGAAATGAGGGACAGAGGGCTACAGGCTCTCTGAGTTCTGAAACACACAGCGCTGCAGGAGCCAGGTACCTTTCATTCCACGCTGCTGCTCGCTGGAGGAAAGGGAAGCCACACGAGTGGGTTTCCTGAGTCACACAGCCTTGAGGAGAGACAGATGGATGCCCAGCTCGTCCTGCCTACCCTGGCTGAGGTTGTGATCTGCTCCCATGGTTCCTATAGGGCAGAGGGGGAATCCCAGGAAAAAGGAGCGGGCGCAGATGCTTATGCTCGGCTGGGTCCCAAACAGCAGCTACCACCAGCAATTCGGAGAGCACCCGCCTGGGCTGTGTCCACCAGCAGAGAGTGCTGGACTGAATGACCAAGGTGCGAGCCAGGGGCAGAATATGAGCCAGAGGGGCCCCAGTCTGTGACTCCTCAGGGGTCATCACCTGAGACACCCAGTGACCCAGCACCAAGCATGAGCATGGAGCTTCTTAGGCTCTTCTAGAAAAACTGAGTTCAGATAATCTGGATCAGAATCCAATTGGGATATGTCTGGAGGAAAGCACTCGCTCTTGGGGGACCTCAAGAGGCCGGGCACTGGCAGGCACCCAGGGCCCTTGGGCAGGTGTCCTGGGTTGGATGTGTCCTCCCTGAGTGAGGAAATCTGCTCGTCACTCAGGACAGGGCAGGGATAGAGGAGGGATAGAGAACAGCAGTTATGAGAGCAGCCCTGATGCCAAGGCTCTGTTAGAACCAGTTTGAGGGGTCAAAGGGAGGCCAGCCCCTCCTCAGTGTGACTCCTGCCGAGCTGAAGCTGCTGCAGCCAGCAGAGGCAAACTGAAGAAGGACCTGCAATTGTTAGAGGCGGCCAATCCCACTGCCCAGGAAAGCCAGCTGCTGGCCCAGAGTCAGACTAGCTCAGGTCCTCCCTGAAACCGAATGCCTGGTCTTCAGGAGACCTCGAGGTCCAGGCCCTGCCCCCAGCCCAGAGGCTAAAGAAGCGGTGAACGGGGTCCTGTGGCTTTAGGGTCCTCTTGGCCCCAGCCTCAGAGCAGTCTCTCTGTGCCCCAAAGGAGGAGGGGGAGGATGAGCTTACAGTCCCCATGGTGGCCTTTCCTTCCTAGAAAAGGACGGAGCCGGGGGAGGAGGGGAGAGCCACCTCAGCCCCCACCTGACTTCCCTTTCCAGTCCCCAGTTCCCTCCGCCACTCCCCCATCAAACCAGGCCAGGCAACGTGTCCAGCAGGTTTCCAGTTCCGAGGCTCAGAGCCCTGCAGATGGAAGCAGATGGAAGCGGGAGGCTGCAGCCCTGCAGGAAATCCCTGCGGCAGGCCGGGCACTGCCCCAGGACCGGACATGGGGCCCGAGTTCTGTCTGGGTTTACGCTGGCTAGCCTCGGGTGCCTCAAGGAGGAGGCCTGGAAAGGACCGACAAGCTTCCCCTGCCTGCGTGCACCACAGCCCGGTCTGGCCAGCATCATCCCAGGGTTCTCTGAGTCCCAGCCTTGGTTGGGAGGGGTCAGAAGGATTCCTGACAGTGGGGGGCCCTTGCAGAGGTGTAGAGCAGTGGAGGCAGGAGTGATCCATCTCTGGCTGGCACTTGGGGGCCTGGGTTGCCTTAGGAGGCAAGACCTAATCTTAAGGTCCCTGAGGCCTGCTTGTTTTGGCCTTCATGGAGCATCAACTGTGACAAACTGGGGCATCCAGGGACCTCCATTTCAGCTCCTGCCCACTTAACAGGAAGCAAACCATGGAAGGTGACTCCAGTAGGAAGAAACTCAGAGACTGGAGCCCTAGGCCAGCAGCAGCAGGAGGCTCGGGCCTTGCTTTGCCTTGTGGAGAATGGAACCTCATGTGTGCTGCGTTATGCAGGGCAGGGCACAGCCAGTCCCTGCCCGCCTGCCTTCAGTGGGAGCCAGGGCCCCACTCCCTCCCTGGCGCCATGCTGGGGCCTGCTGGGACTCCTACAGGAAAGCAGGGGCCCTCTCTGCGTCAGGCAGCCTGCAGGAAGCTGGGGCCCTCTGTCCACACAAGCCCTCCTGGCCTCGTCTATGCAGCCCACTATCCTCAAATCATGTATGTAAACACGCTGTCGCGGGCAGGAGCCCTCAACTCTTTAGAGTGGACTTCAATGCCTCCACACTCAGTGGCCTTGGGATCTTTTGGATCCAGAATTTCAAGTATCCAGGGCACACAGGAAATGAATCTGGGTGACAGGCAAAACTGGAGCACAGAAAGACAGAGCTTGTGGAGGCCTGGGGGAAGGATCCAGCCCACCCGGAGCCCTCACAGGGGGGAGGTGCCCATCCCCCAGATTCTTATGGAACATCTTGGGATCAACATGCAACTCAGGTTCCCACCTAGGTGGGCTGCTCTCGGTAGCAGGTAGCAGGACCCCGCCGGCTCCTCGTCCTCTTCTCCAGGGGCTCGGCTGGCGTGGGCTGGGGCTGGTGGGAGTGTTGGCCTGTCTTAGGTGTGCTAGCAGCTCTGGGACTGTCTGGCCTAGGCTACACCTGTGGTCTCTCGCCCATCCCCGTGCAGGAGATGCAAGACAAGGCTGCAGCAGGCTCCAGGGAGCCAAAGCGGGGAAGAAAGGGAGACCTGGAGCCAGCAGCGCCCTCAGCACAGGCGTGCACCCGGGATGTGGTGGGGAACAGGGTCGAGGTGGCTCTTTTCAGTATCTCCTCAAACAGCATTTTGGTGCCTCAGAGGGAGAGAGCCAGGGGTGACGGATCCTATATAGAAGTGTGAGCTGTGAGCCTCAAAAACAAACAAAAAACAACTTCAAAGCTCTGTCTAGCAGCTGCTCGGCTCCACTCCCGGTTCTGACTTGGGCCCTGCCTGTGCTCACCCTGAACAAGTCACCTGCTTGTTGTCCAGCTATTTTGACAACTGCTGCCCAATTATTAAGACACAGCAAACTAGCCTGTGCCTCAGCCCATCCCTGGGCGAGAGTCCAGGACTCACCCAGGGGTCCTGCAGCCTCCTCTGAAGTCTCTGACGCCAATGCCCCTCCCCACTCCAGCCCCCTGAAGTTGGGCCCAGAGATTCCAGGCCTGTGGCCTCTGGCCACTCCTCCTCTTGGTCAAGTACAGGATGCTAGCGATGCCACAGGCCACCAACCTTTGCATCATGCGAACTTCTGAGCCTTTGCGCTCTCTGTGCAGGACTCCGACCCTGACAGAGCCCTCTCCCCATGCCCTCCACCCCACCTGAGCTGAGCCACCCCAGGTAGGCCAGGTTACATGCTGAGTGGAGATCCCAAGCCTTCGCTGCCTGGCCACCCCAGGAAGCCAAGGGCCTTTTACAAACCGTAGTAAACATTTTATTTACAAGTTTCAGGCTTGCTACCTGCAGCTGGCAGCTTTATGCTATGACCCCAGCTGCAGTTGCAAGGAAGAGCAATTTAGTCCAACACTTCCCAGGATGGGCTGCTGGTGTCCAGCGCAGGAGCAGCTGCAGGTGACAGTGGGGAGGGACAGTGCTGCTTTTGCATCCACGGTGCATCCCACCAGCTTGTGGCCCACACAGAATCCAGCCCCTGTCGGGAAGCTGCCCTCAGGGCCGCGGGTCCCTCTGTGCTCTGCAGTCTATAAGCCGCTGGCCGGTGGGGCCTGGCTGGGTGCGGGGCTTTTGGGGGCGCTGCTGCCTCCGGTGGTCTGGGACTCGGAAAGCAGCTCTGAGGTGCTGCCACCCACACTGGTGCTGGTGCCAGTGCCCCCGAGGCCGCCTGCGCTGCTGAAGCCAAAAGTGCAGCCACCCCCACCCCCACCTCCACTGCTGCTGCCGCCACCACCAGCAGCCGTGACCAGGGCAGCAGCAGTGGATGCCTTGATGACCGTGGTTGAGTGCAGAGGCAGCTCAGTCCCCTCAGTCCGCTCCGTGTCGCTGGGGGCCATGTCCAGGGACTCTGAGTCACTGGTCTCACTCTCCGGCTCCCCCTCCGAGCGGCTGAGGCTCCTCTCCTCCTGGTCACCTTCTCCCTGGGCTCCTCCGGAAGCCTTCTCCCCGGCCTCTTTGTCCTTGTCCTTCTGCGCCTGGGCCTCCTTGGAGTGCCGCCACTTCATCCGCCGGTTCTGGAACCACACTTTCACCTGAGCAGTATGGGGACAGGAAGGGACTGGGTGAGCAGAGAGCTGGCTCCCTCCAACTCACCGTCGGGCTGCCTCTTGGGCCCCAGGAGCATTCTCCGTGCCTCAATCAAAAGCCAGGCACTGAACAAGGCACAGGACAGGATGAGAGCAGCAGCAAAGAGAAAACAAAGCCAGGAGCCTCCCAAAAATGTGGCCCCTGAGCTACTGAAACACTGGACGCTAAGCCGGTGGCCAGGACGAACCTTCTAGCATTCTGCTCTCACTGATACAAGAGCCTTCTGAGGTCCTGGCTACCTCTGGGTCCCTCACCACTGTGCAGTCCAGGCCATCCTTCCAGCCTCACTTTGGTCAAGGGCTCCAGAAAAAATCAAAGTGAGGGACACCGAGCCAGGAAAACACACGCGCACTGGAGCTAGGCCTTGTCTTTCCTGTCACTACCCAAAGCAAGGCGTCGCTTCAGGAGGAAACTGGGAAGCTGAAAAGCAGAAGGGAACTCAAAGAATTAGTCCCAGAGGAGTGGTAGCACTCCCAGTTTTCAGTGAGGAGGATTTCCTGGGCACCGTTTCCCTGAGACCTGATGTGGACCCTCTCTCCTCCACCCATTAGCGTAAGCTAATTCTCAGGGGCCTCACAAAATGCTGAAATTAAAGATGTGCAAAGTGGAAAGGAGCTAAGAATGGAGCAGAGAATCCACATAACTATGTAAGACCCCCTGAGGGACCCAACACGGCTGCACAAGTTCCAGCCTCTCTTTTAAAAATAACAGCCCCAGCTGGTGGAAGGGCAGGGCCTGGCCCTGCAGCGCGGGGCGCTGGGAGATGGCTGCGTAACGGGGACCCAGGCCCGAGTCCCAGACCCAGGCCGCTTTCGGATTCTCCCTGCTGGGCACAGTCAGAGTAGTAAGGGCATGGCAGGGCGTGCTGTAGTCAAAGCTCAAAAAAGGGAAAAGGAAAAGAAAGCCTGGCTCTTCCATCTACAGGAAAAGGAGTCGGGGCAGGCACACGGGTTTCCTATTGTCTTGGGGACAATCAAACAGGCTAACCTGCTGAAGCACTCTGGGCATCTGGGAAAATCCACTTTCTCCCTGCAACGCCCCCACCAGCGGCACCAGGAGAGATCTTCCTGGGCCCTTAGGACTCGGACCGCACCGGCGGCGCCGGCTCCAAGCAGACTCCTTGCCCCACTGGAGCTAAGTAATTTTTTTGAAAGATATTTTCACTTCCTCAGAGCAGGGATTTCACAATCCCTAAGCAGCGGCTAGGAGGGGGAGGAAGAAGGGTAGCAGAAAAAAACCAACTACAATCCCTAGACTTTAGTGTTTTTATCTCCTCGGAAATAAACTGCCTCCACAATGAATTGCCCCGCCGAGCAAGTAATTAGCATCTGCATGGCCAAAGCGCTGGGTCCTGGGGTGCTCAGCCAAGGCCAAAGTAAACACCCAGAGCCCTTGGTCCTGCTCCGGAGAGGCTAGAAGATCTCGCTGCCATCCTCCTCAGGCCCGAGCTGCTGAGCCCAAGGCCTCGCCCTTCCAGACCTGGAAATCCGGAGCCACTTGAGGGTTTCCGGCTGCCCAGGGCGCTCACCTGTGCATCTGTGAGGCCCAGCATCGCAGCCAGCTGCTTTCGGTCCGGCTTGGTCACGTACTTCTGGATCTCAAACCGTTTCTCCAGGCCTTTCCGCTGCAGGTTGGAAAAGACCGCACGCGACCACGAGCGCTTCCTCTTGTACGTCTGCGGCATGGTGTCCTTGGTGAGCACGGCATAGGGACCTGCGTGGGGCCGGGCGCGGGGAATTGAGACCCGGGCCGGCCGTCCCAGTGCCCAGCCAGCCACTGCAACCCCGGTGCTCAGAGCAGGGTTTCGTGGAGCAGAGCGCGAGGCCCAGTGTCCGAGGGCCTGTGCACACGCGGCGCCAGCCTCACTGGGGTCCCGAGGCCTGCAGAGGCCACGCCAAGGCTCCTGAATTCCTCCAACACAGCCCAACGCGGGGCCATCACGGGTGTGTGAGGGGCAGACAGTGATGTAAGCACGGCCCTGCACTTCTCCGGCTTGCCTACGTGAGCTCCCACAAGTGGGCGCAAACAAGAGGGAACCCCCACCACGCGAATGTCTGTGGTTATCCAAAGCGCGGTGTGTTAACAGGCGAGGTCTTTGATGCTCATTTTTAAACCACCCTCTCTAGGGTAAACACCTGGGAAAGCAACCTGTCTGGTGACAACGTTGGCTTCTGCACACACTGTCCTGGTCCCCAGGAGTCCCCTATCCCTCTCACTGTCCCCTATCCCAGGGCCCCCAAAACCAGCACTCAGCGCTGTCCCTGAAATCTTCTGGTTTCTCTCTCTCTCTCTGACCTTGCGGTCTCCAGCCCCCGATATAGGATTGCCACACTAAGGCAGCCCCGGCAGACAAGGCCCTGAGATTTCTCAGCCGCGTCCCCTACCCGGCCGCAGCTGGGATTTCTCCATACCTGGAAAGGTATCCTGGAATTGATGCTGAACTGAATTTCTCGGGTTGGAGCTTAAGGGGCTGAGGATGGTGGAGGCCTCGTTCATGGGTTCCAGGGACGCAAAGAACTGGCCGGCCGAGGGCTGCAGCCCTGCAAGGTGTACGCCAGCCGGCCGCCCTCCAGCTAGCAGAGATGTGAGGTCTGCAGAGGTAGAGGACAGTCCCGGTCACACGGGGCCTCGCGCCCTCCGCCCTCTGTGCCCGCCTCGCCTTCGACTGGGGTTTATTGCAGCGAGGTCCAAGACCCCAGGAACAGACACCTCGCCTTCCAAAGACACCCAGGAGCCTGCATGAAACCCTCTGTGACCCTGGGGTCCACTGCTCTTGTAGAGCTGGGCCGCCAGGAACCACTATCGGGGTCTCTGGCATCCACAGCTCTCAACCTTCCCACACCCCGCTCTAGAGTTTCCTTTATGTGAGATTTGGCCAGAATCGGATGAACAGAAAGGAAGCTGACCCCTTCAGGGCTAGCTCTATTATCAAAAGACAATTCTCTCTGTAAGTATAAGATTCGAAGCCGAAGGACTGATTGTCATTATTGCAACTATTTACCCCAATCCTTTCACGTACATCTCAAGAATCTTTATTTAAACATCAAGCTGGTGAGTTTTAACCCTGACGTTTTGTAGTTTCCTTACAGCTCCTTTTCTTCTCCCCCATTTGTCCTTAATTATGCAAACACCGAAAGCACCCAAAGCAGCTTGGGGCCCAGGGATGGTCGGGACCTCGGTCGGGAGACTCGCAGCCCGCCACCAAGACGGGGAGACTTACCTCTCAGCGTGTTGCCTTCCTTCACTTTGGGGTCAAATTCCGCCGACAAAATTCGGTCGATGCCAAACTTGAGGTCCTTACTGGAGGGCGCCGGGGTGGAGGCGCCGAGGTGCGCGCCCGCGCGGGACCCCGACCCGGGGGGCTGCAGGACACCCGGACGGGCGGCGGGCGGCGGTGGCGGCGCAGCCCGGGCGTGGAAGGCGGCGGAGAGCGGGGACAGGCGCTGCGGGAAGCCGGCGGGGCCCTCGGGGGGCGCCACCACCGGGGTGGGCCGCAGCGGGGACCTGGCGGCCGCCGGGAAGGGAGCGTGCGGGTGCACGGAGCCCAGGTGCGCGGCGAGGGCGACGGCCGAGGCCCCGGCCAGCGCCTCGGCACCCGCGCCCGGCTCGGCCGCGCCCGCGTGCAGGATGTCGGCGATGCAGAACGACGGCTTCTTGGCGACGGCGGGGTCGGCAGGGAAGGCGCAGCCGCCGGGGCCGGCCGGAGCGCAGTAGGCGGCCGACCAGAGGCCGAAGTTGGAGGCGTAGAAGGGCGCCAGCCCGGCCGCGAACATGCTGGGCCGCGCGCGGCGGAGGGCGGCGGCGGCGGCGGCCGGCACGATCCGCTGCTTTCGCTTCTCCGCCGCGGTGGAGGCGCCGCCGCGTCCGCTCCCACTCGGCCCTGCCCTGCCCGGCCCTGCCCGGCCCGGCCCGGCTCGGAGGCGGCGGCGGGGCGCACGGAGGGCGACGTCTGCGCGCGCGGGAGCCGGGACGCGGCGCGAACCCAAACAGCTAAGCCCCGAGAGCTAAATTTAAAACAACAATAATAATCCGTTAGCTTAAAAAAACGTATTAAGAGTTTAAAAAAAAAAAAAAAAAAACTCCTCTCTAAAATCTCCCCAAGTTTTGGCCGCGGCTCCGGAGTCCAGCCGGGTAGGACCTGGATGCCGCCGCTCATTGGCCGCGCGCGCCACCAATGGGCGCCGCGGCGGGGGTGGGGACCGAGGGGCGCGGCCGGCCTGGCCCCGCCCCGCCCGCGCCGCTGTTTTCGGGGCCGCGTGGCCGAGCGCGCCGCCCTCCCGGGCGTGGGGCTGGGTGAGAGTCGGCGACTGTGCGGGCCGACCGCTCCGGCCGGGTGCGGGTCCGCGCTCACGCAGCGCGCGGCTCCTGGCACCGCCGAGCCCGGCTTCCTTCGCTCCGCCGCAGCGGCCTCCCCGACTCTGTCCCCAGAGCCGGGGGGGGGGGGGGGGGGGTCATTCCGCGCCATCACGGCAGCGAGGATCGCGACGAGTGACTTTTCAAACAAAACAAGCCTGGTGCTCGCGAGGCTCCTCCGAGCCCCGCGAGCCCACGCGCATCCTCGCCGTGGCGCGTCACGTGGGCGCGTGGCAAGTGCCTCAGGGAAGTTTTCCTGGGACGCAGTGCCCCTCACTCCCCTCACTCCCCTGGCCACCGCGGTGGCCACGCCTGCTATGGGCGCCGGGGCTTCAGGATGGGGGAGCTGCGACATTCACTGTTTATTTAAAGAATTACTTCTCTGTATCTGTCTGTCTCTGTCTGAATGTCTGTGTGTCTTTCTCTCTCTCTCTCTGTCTCTCTCTCTCTCATCAGGAATTGAACTCAGGGCCTTGCGCCTGCCAGGCAGGCGCTGTGCCGCTGAGCTGAGCTGGGTCCCCGGCCCTTTCTTTTAAATCACAGAGTGGATTTCCCCATCCCTCTCCCCAGCAAACCACAGGCCACCCAGATGCACTATTCTTGCACATTTTCAGGAAGAAAAGAAAATGGAGACAGTAATGAAATCACGAAGTATTTTGTTTTCGATTTCCCTAATCAGCATCGCCTGACGGATCGGATGGCCTTTGTTTCCCTTTGGCCCTTAGGCATCGCACACTCGGGAGAGCGAGCGCATTCCCCCCCGCTCGAGAAGTGCGGGGTGCCCGGGCTCCGTGCTGGGCGCTCGGCCCCCTCGCACCCGCTCTCCTTGGGGCGAGCGTTTTCCTTTCTCCCGAGGAACAGCCCGAACTAATCCATCACTGCGGGTCAGCCGGCGACGCCGACCCGCTCTCTCCTTCCCTGTTCCCCAGAAATCTTCTGTCCCGCTCTGCGGAGAGGGGGTTGCTCTCCCCGCCAAGGGGCAGGATTGCGGAGAGCCGGGACGGGGCGAGAGCGGGGGCCCCGGCTCCCGGCGAAGGCAGCGTCCTGCACGTAGGGGTGCGCGGACAGCCGCTGGCGAGGTCTTTCCGGGCTTCTTCCCGTTGCGGGCTGCTAAGCCCACGCTCCGGGTTCCCAGAGAGACGCGGTTACGCGCCCTGCGCGCCCTCGCCACCGCCCGAGAGCCGGATCTCCCGGGCCTCTGCACCCTTTGGGCGTGGAGACCCCGACGGGCGGGGGCAGCCCAGGGCTCCCCAGTCCGCTGCCCCACGCCTTCCTCTGGCGCCCTACCCGGGCCTACTGGGTTCCTCCCGGAGGCCGCGGGACAGCGCGACCCAAGCGCCTTCCCCAGCCCGGGCCGGCCCCGTAGAGCCCCGGCGGCTCTCAGACGCGGGAGGCCCTGGTCCCCACTCCGGCCCGCAGAACCCAGAAGGCTGCAGGAAGCCTGGGCTCGCGGGAGTTCAGGTCATCTCCTGTTTTCTGATGGACTCGGGCTCGGACTAAATGAGCGGATGTGCCTCCGAGATTGGGCTCAAAATAGAAGCGGCCTTAGTATTTTAGGATACTGCAGAAATCCTTATTTCTTCCGGAGAAAAACTCTATAATGACTCCTAGCACTTCCCCTTTCAATATTTGTGCAACTTTATCTCCACCGGCAAGTTGCTGGGTGACGCAAATCCGCCCTTGTGTATTACAACTACCAAAATAAACGCACGGAAATCAATTCCCTTCTAGCAATGAAAATATAAATATACAGCTGCGATTTTTCCCTTTAATCTTTGCTTTCCGAGCTGTCCGGTGGTGGTGAAATGAGCTGGCCCAGAGCTATTGAGCGGGGCGGGCAGGCCCGGGCGGGAGCAGGGCCGATTAAACCCAATTAATTAGAACCCAGTCTACACTACTCGGCCCTAAATGTGGCCACATTTTTTTTTTTTTTAAAGGTGCGGTATTGGCTGGGTTTTTGCTGGTCGTTTTTTGACTGTTGTCTGTCATCCTTAGGACTCCTCTTTTCTTTCTTCCTGGGCCCACACAGCCAAGGTCTATTTCCCTGTCCTGAAAGGGTAAACTTAGAGGAGGTCCTTTATAACTTAGCAAGGTGGCTCAGGGGTATTAGAGAGGCAAGCAGAGACCCGAATCCACCAGAAGATTCCACCAGAAGATTCCATCACGGGACAAGAGCGGGCTTCCTCTCCCTATCACCAGCACCTCCACTCTTAAAATCTCCAGCATTAATTCTCTTTCCAGACCCAAGGAGGTAAAAGAGCAAAGACACCCAGAGCTGGGTGCTCCTCCGGAAGGAATGTACCTCTGGGTGAGCTTTGCCGCCTGCTTCTGTTTCTTTTAGACTCTGGGCGAAGTAATGGGCAAAGCAGTTGCTCTGCGGGCTCCGACACCCCACCCACTAATTTTAAATATTATTTCAAACATGAAACCTACTGGTTTCAAAAAAAAAAGGAGAGGTGGAAATAAATATTCACAGTCAAAACGAAAAGGAAACACAGCTTACTCAGCTGTTTAAGAATTCGAGAGATTTGCAGTGTTGTAAGAATCTGTGTATATGGTGCCTGTCTTTCTGCCCCTGGGAGATTTATGGGTCACCGAGCCCAGCACTCACAGCTCGGCTTCTTGTGGGTTCTAGATCCTGAGTTCAGGGCTCTGGAGACCCGGGTAGACACCCCCCACCCACCCACACACCCTCACAGTCACACATTTTGGGTTATTTGGGGTGGATTTCCCTCTCCTTTCCTGAAGACCTCAGGTCGGCCCCAGAACTAAATATAGATGCTGAGTTTTTAAAAGAATTGGACTTGGGGGTGGGAAGGGTACGTAATGCGCAGGAACCCCCCACCATAACGGTTTACTCTTCCTCGGCTCCCCTGGCGCCAGCCTCGCGGGTGGCCAGCCTTCTCTGTGGCTGAGGCCCTGCCCTTGAACACCGGTCTCACGTCTGGATCCAGAGCTTCCGCGGCCCTTTGGGCGGGCGTCCGTTTCCTCCTCGCTTCCACGGAGTTCAGACACCCCACCCCATCTTCTCATCAGCAGAGAAGGACCCTGAACCCCCCAAAACCTGCGGCAGAACCCATAGTAGCAGGGCACACTGGAACACAGACATCCTGTACGAGCCAGAAAGTCATGGCCCCGGTAAGAGTGAAACACCAGAGTCCACCTGTAAAACCGGCCATCCAGGAGGCTGAGGCAGGAGGATGGCAAGTTCGAGGCCAGCTAGCCTGAACGCTAAAGGAGACCTTATATCAACAAAATAAAATCAAATAAGGGCGGGAAGCCGGATCCCAGGGGTAGAAGGTGTGGCTGGTGCTCCCCGCGGGAACTAGGAGCCTGGAGTCCAAGGGAGGGCGCAAAGCCCGGGGCGCAGTACACAGAGGACACTGAGGCAGGCGGTGCAGGTGGCTGAGCCCAGAAGGGAAGGAGGCCTAAGCCCGGCCCGAGCCAGGACAGGGAAGGCCTGAGGCCGAGGAGAGGGGCTCTGCGCCCCGCCTCGGGATCCTGGCCTGGCCCGCATCCCAGCGGACGGGGCGGCTGCAGACCGCGCGGAACCTGCAGCCCCGCACCTCGCCCTCCTTGCGGCGGGCCGAGACAGGGACATTCGGTTCTCTGCTGCCACCTGCTGGACCGTCCCCGCCTTGCTACCTGACAGCGCCCGCCCAGGGCCAGCGCGGACTCTGCTCCAGCGAAAAGGGCCGCGTCCTGCTGCAGGGGCACAGGGTGGGAGCCCGGGGCGATGATGGCCAGTCCTAGCAACTCCCAGGCACAGAAGTGGAAAAGCAAAGCGTGAAATGTTACTGTCCTTGTTTGGTAAGGAGCCTTTTCTCTCAGCCCTTGTTTGGTAAGTGACTATGTGCATATCTTGTTTAAAAACCTACTTTTCAGATCTTCTGCCCGTTCTTTATTGTGTGATTCTTTTTCTCAAAGTGTCTATCTGACCCAGGGCAGTTGCCTTTCCTCCGTGTTTGTATCGTAAGCATTTTCTCCTGATGGATGGCTTTATGTTTCACCTGTTAGTGTTGGTTTTCGATAAACAACCATCTTTAATTTTAATGCTGTCTAATTTTCTTATGTTCTTCTATGTGTCTTTCTTATGTTCTTCTATGTGTTCTGTGTCTAGAAGGCAAAATATGTATCCCACATTTTCATTTCAACAATAAATGCAGTTTTGAAAGAACTGCTGCAAAATATCTAACTTTAAAGATTCATAAATTAGAAGCCTTATATATATATATACTTAAAAAAAGACAGTGAGGGAAGGGCTGGCCCTGCGGTAATAAGGATCAGGTCACACATCTCTAGGGGACTTCACAGCTTTTGTCTCACTCCCAACCCCTGTTGATGCCGGAGGGAAGGGCTTTGGGTCAGGAAGCTGGCCCTCCTTGGAGAGGTAGAGCGGCCCACTCCCGTTTTGTTTTTGGAGACAGGATTTCACTAAGTAGTCCAGACTGGCCTTGAACTTGTAGTGATCCTCTGCCTCGGCCTCCCGACTGCTGGGGCTATGGTTGTACGTCACTGACCTCCGCCCTCATGCTCTTTCTATAGAGAATGAGCTGGATTTTTCTGCCTAGACAACGCCCCCCACCACCAGGGCTTCTGCGGCCTCCTGCACCTGATGTCCTCGGTCTCCCTGATCCAGCCTCCCTCTGCTCTGCCATGCCTGTGCTCTTCTGCTTCTCTCCAGTCCAAGGGTGGAAACTGAGGCACCACCTTGGCACAGGGCACTCAGAGAGCTGCCCTCTGCCTA